TGCTACTTCTTCTTCAACATATTACGTACGTACATACATACATACATATATAAATTGTAACTCTCTAATTAAATAATTAATAACCGAATCTCCAATTAAATAAATTTTCCATTTAAAATTTAAATATTCAATCTTAACAACCAAAAATCATGAAATGAAATGAAATTATATATTAAATCTTTAAATTTTGAATTGTCACACAAAAGTTATCTCTTTTGACAGGACTGGAAAAAAAAAATAATAATAAAAAAATAAATAGTGAACTTTGTTGAATAAATTATTTATTTTAATTGCACCAAAAAAAAGTCACTATTAAATAAATTATCTCTTTTAAGTGCCAAAAATAAAATAATCAATATGAAATAAATTATCTTCTTTGAGAGGATCTCCGAAAAGAAAAGAAAGTATAGAATGGAAAAAAAATAATAATAAAGGAACTAAAGAAGGTAAAAAAAAAAAAAAAATTAAGTTGTATAAAGAGTAGTTATTGCATAATAAAATAAGGCATAGTACATTAATAAATTCAAGAATCTTCTTGTCATTTTATATATATATATATATATATATATATATATATATAAATAAAGTATAATATAATATAATATAAGTTATATAAAGAGTAGTTATGACAAGTTTGGCCATCATGGCTTTTTTCTAGTACTCAATGAGGATTTTTCTTTTTGTACTTGAGGTTTAGGGTCAGTTTGGTGCAATGGAAAAGAGAGGAAAGGGAAGGAAAGGTGATGGAGGGAGATTAAAAATTTATGTTTGGCAAAAAATGATGGAAGGAAAGGGAAAGTTTTGGAAGGTTATGTCAAAACTTGAACAGTGTTTTGCTTATCCTCCCAAAAATGGAAGGAAATGGAAGGAAAGGGAAGGCTAGGATTGATGAATTAGTTCTGATTCCAAATTTATCCTTCACAAAATCAAAATTACACTTGATTTTAGGATTTAGTTTGCAAAACAAGAATTACAGACCTTGATTAATTGATTTAGAAAAAAAAAAAAAAAAAAGTTGAGAGACAGCGGCTGAAGCTTGCGAACGGCGAACCCGAACTGGAACAACGGGCAACGGAAACTGAAAGATATGGGTTTTGATTTTTTGAACATGGGTTTTGATTTTTTGAACAATCTGAAATGATATGCCGATATGAGTTTTGAACTTTTGATTCTTGATAGATAAACTGAAATATATGGATTTTGAACTTCTAATACTTATAGTGCAAAGAGAGAGAAAGATGGCAAGTTCAGAGTTAAGAACGAGAATAGAGATGGAGACAGAGAGATTGGGGAGGCTGAAATGATTTGCCCTAAATCTTGTGGCTATTTTACTTTTTATTATTATTTTTATTTTTGGTAGAAGTTGTTGAAATTTTGTTATTGCATTATTTTTAGTACTAAATACATAAATATAAAAAGGTATGTACCTATTTGTGTGTGTTAAATTTATAGGAGGCAATATATATATATATATATATATATATCTTTTAAAATGGAAAATGGTATAATAATAAATTTTCTTTCTTACCTTTCTTTTTCTAAACATAATTATTATACTTTCCTTTCTTTTCCTTCATTAATCAACCAAATATGATGGGGGCTAAAGTTATCCTTTCCTTTCCTTTTCCTTCCCTTATAATTAATGTTATCTTTTCATTCCCTTATAATTAATGTTATCTTTTCATTTCAAATTCAATGTCCCAAACATAATTTTAGTGTTTGCAAAAAAAAAAAACCAAATTTCTTTGGTGGGACCCGCTACCATAATCACCTTTACAATTTCTATCTTCACTCTTTTTCTCAATCCTTCTGCCAGCCGCCTCGTGCTTCTTTCCTTTATCTAACCAAATATATTATACATCACACACACACACACACACACACACACACACACACACACAACAAATCAAAACTCATTTCTCTTAGTGGGCCCACAGAAAAATCATCACAATATCAACCCTCTTCCTCAAATTTTCGGCCACCACCTGCTACTTTTGCTTCAACAGATCACACGCGCGCGCGCGCGCGTAACACAAAAAATGTAAACTGTAACTCTCTAGTTAAATAATCAATAATCGAATCTCCAATCGAGTAAATATCCTATTTAAAATTTAAATACCTAATTTTAACAACAAAAAATCATGAAATGAAATGAAATGAAATTATAAATTAAATCTTAAAAATCTGAATTGTCATAAAAAAGTTATCTCTTTTGACATGATTGAAAAAAAAGAATTAATTTTGTTGAATAAATTATTTATTTTAATTGTAACAAAAAAAAAAGTCATTATTGAATAAATTATTTCTTTTAAGTGTCAAAAATAAAATAATCAATATAGAATAAATTATTTCCTTTGAGAGGACTGACAAAAATTCCATTTGTATACAATAATCGGATTATATTGGGTATAGTTTAGTGGTAAAAGTGTGATTCGTTTTATTAACCCCCTTAATAGTTAAGGGGTTCTTTGGTTTGATTCCTATTCCGAACAAAAACTTTATTTCTTAAAAGAATTTAATCCTTTACCTCTCAATAAAAGATTCGAGGAAAAATCTAAATTCTCGTAATTTATATTCAAGGATCCATTAAAAATGGAAAAATTGGATTATGAAATTTCGAAACATAATTTTTGAATTGGATCAATACTTCCAATTGAATGAGTATAAGGAAAGGATCCATGGATGTGGTTCCTCTATGCCTAGAACACCAGAATATCGAACTATGAACAAAGAAAGGCATGAGAGAAAAGCATGTTGGCTAGTGATTGTGAGGCCCCAATTCTTGACTGGAGGGGACACCAAAGGCCTCTGCCCTTCCATCCCTTGGATAGATAGAGAGGGAGGGCAGAGCTTTTGGTTTTTTCATGTTGTCAAAGAGTTAAACAATGGTTTTTTCGTGTTGTCAAAGAGTTAAACAATGGTTTTTTCGTGTTGTCAAAGAGTGAACAATGAAAATAGATGGCGAGTGCCTGATCGAATTGATCAGTTTTAACTCAGTGGTAGAGTAATACCATGGTAAGGCGTAAGTCATCGGTTCAAATCCAATAAGGGGCTTTTACTTTTTTTCCATAAAAACCCAGTCGTCGTATTCATATTTGAAAGGGGAATGTCAATATTGTTTATATTTGTAATAAAAAAAGTAACCAACTGTAGAAAATAAGTTATTATTCTAATGAGTTATAGTATAGTATAGTAGTTATAAAGTTAAGCATTTGTTCAGTAAAAAAATACAATTATCATGAATAATGATAAGTCGTCTCTTGAATCGCCACCTATTTCGATTTTCCATTATGATAAAAAAAAAAAAAGAAAGTACATAATGAAAAAAAAAAATAGTAAAGAAACTAAAAAAGGTAAAAAAATAAAAATAAGTTGTATAAAGGGTAATTATGGTATAATAAAATAAGGCATGGTATATTAATAAATTCAAGAACCTTATTATTATTATTATTATTTTTTAAATAAGCATAATATAATTAGAGAAAAACATAATACAAATATCCCTCTAAATGAAAATTAATTTTTCATCTCATTTCTATTATTACTTTCTCTCAACACTCTAAGGCGGTTACCCGCCCCAAAAAAATATATATATATTGTGAATAAATAAAAAAATTGACTGTAAAGGCAATTTGGTTATTTTATCACATTTTTACAATTTTTGACTGAGGGGGAGTTGTTGAGCTGACAGCCTGACACCCAAACCTCAAAACAATGAATTTACCCTAATTTAGTGTTGTCAGTTGGTGCATCAGTCCGACTTGGACAGCCGGACACCCACACCTCAAAACAATGAATTTACCCTAATTTAGTGTTGTCAGTTGGTGCATCAGTCCGACTTGGACAGCCGGACACCCACACCTCAAAACAATGAATTTACCCTAATTTAGTGTTGTCAGTTGGTGCATCAATCCGACTTGGATTTCCTGGTCCCACCCTAAAAGAAAATGTGGTGGGTTTGGTAATGGTAATTTAATCAATCAGCACAATTGCTGTTACGAAATATGAATTGAGCAGGAGTTTACGCGAACCAAAAAAAAATAATAATAATAAAAATAATGTATATATAAATGATATAAAAATTTAGGTGATTCGGTTGTGTCTATATTTATAAGGAAAAGATAGAATAATATTTTATTATAAAAATAAAAAAATACAAAGTTAAATGACTCAAACCTAAAATTTAAATTACACCCAAACTCTCTCACTCTCCCATTGATATTACAAGCTCACTCTAAATTGATGATTTGAATGATCAAACATCGTGAGAGCAAGAGTATTTATAGCCAAAATATCACAAACTTGAGCTTGCTGATCACTCAAGTATATTTGTTATCGACGCATGCCAGAGCTTGTTGATCATGGTTCTTGGCTGCCAAGTTGTTGATGGAATGGATGATGTAAATGGGTGACCTCAATGCTGAGTTGGCAATTTGCTTTTGAGCCAGAATATTCAATAGTTGTGAATGCCGCCAAAAGCGTGAATCTTTTAAAATTCTCTCCCTTAATAGGACCTCCGAAAAGAAAAGAAAGTATAGAATGGAAAAAAGAATAGTAAAAAAACTAAAGAAGGTAAAAAATAAAAAAATAAAAATAAATTGTATAAAGAGTAATTATGGCATAATAAAATAAGGCATAGTGCATTAATAAATTTAAGAACCTTCTTATTATTATTTTTTTTTTAAAAAAAATAAGTATAGTATAATTAAAGAAAAATAAAATGCAAACATCCCACTAAAATAAAAATCAATTTTTCATCTCATCTCTATTAAAAAATATTGTAAATAAATAAAAAAATTCGGTTATTTTATTACATTTTTACAATTTTTGACTGAGGGGGAGTTGTTGAGCTGACAGCCTGACACCCAAACCTCAAAACAACGAATTTACCCTAATTTATTGTTGTCATTTGGTGCATCAATCCGACTTGGATTTCCTGGTCGCACCCCTAAAACAAAATGTGGTGGGTCTGGTAGCTAATCCAATCAATCAACAAAGCTGCGAATGCCGCCAAAAGCGTGAACCTTTTAAAAAATACACCCCTACTAGTGGTTGCAGCAGCAGAGAAGAGAGAGAAGAAGATGGCGAAGGTAGAGAGCAGCTGCGGATCTTCGCGATGGGCTCTCATCGGAATGAAGGCTCTTGTCACTGGTGGCACTCGTGGAATCGGGTCTCTCTCTCAATCTATATATATAAATTTTCAATCTGATTAATGATTCTTGATCTAATCGCTCTTGAAATTCTCTCTAGGGTTTTGATTGATTTGATTTGATTCGATGTGTTCAGGCATGCGATTGTGGAGGAACTAGCTGAATTAGGGGCTACGGTACACACCTGTTCTCGCAACGAAGCTGAGCTCAACCATTGCTTGCAAGAATGGACCGGTAAGGGTTTCGCAGTCACCGGTTCGCTCTGTGATGTATCGTCTCAAGACCAACGCCTACAGCTCATGGAAAAGGTGTCTTCTCTTTTCACTGGCAAGCTCAACATCCTTGTAAGTCACAACACAGTCTCCAGTTTTATACATACATTAGATTAGCCCCATTCAATTGTTACACACATATACGTTTATAACTTTTTTTATATACACACACAAGCTTTTTATTTGATACAATTTGCTTTTCATAGTCAATTTTCAAAATGTTCTCTACAGAGATCTTTGATAAATTTTCTATGCTCTAATCAGATAGCATCACTTTAAATCATATACTCAACCATTTTGAATGTCACCTATCTTCTGGCTGTAGATAAACAATGTTGGGACAAACATAATGAAGAAAACCGCTGAGTATACAGCTGAAGAATATTCGCAACTGATGGCTACCAACTTTGAATCTACTTACCATTTATGTCAACTTGCATATCCTCTTCTAAAAGCATCTGGAGTTGGAAGCATTGTCTTCATTTCCTCTGTTGCTGGTCTGGTGCACACTTCTTCTGGATCCATATATGGAGCAACTAAAGGTAACCATCGTGACTGGTCCCTTTCTGTTGCATTAGTATGGAAATGTGAACCTGGATGGATGTGAATTTACAGGCTTTCTGCTTCTCTTTGCTGCTTGCAGGTGCAATAAATCAACTGGCAAAGAATTTGGCTTGTGAGTGGGCTAAGGACAACATCCGATGTAATTCTGTTGCACCCTGGTATATCAGAACGTCACTCGTGGGGGATGTAATATTCTTTTATCTTGTGCATGGTCTCTTGAATTTTGTTAATTTTCTTTTCCAAATGAATTCATGTTCCAGATACTTTAGAAATTATACCTGGGAGGTTATCCCAGATAACTGCACTCTCCATGTTCATCGAAACCAATGCATTCTTGAATTAACACTAGTGTGTTCTCTGGAAAATAGACTGGTTTATGCATTTAAACAATAGCTTGTTGACCACCACAGTGACACAGCTCATATAACAATTAACAACTAATAGATGCATCTTTCTTCATTGTGTAATTTGAGACCTGGTATACATATAAGAGAACATCTCAATGATTATTATGCTCACGCTATTAGATAAATAAAACATATTTACGTCAATAATAAATCTAACTCAAATGATAATTAAAAATGAAATATGCCAATTGATGTATCATGACTATAGTTCAATGTAATCAGTCGATGAGTTACATCATTTCGAACCTTGCTATCTCTTTCTATTTGCAACAGATTCTTCAAATTACCTTATGAGTCGAGACAAAATAAATTCAGTTCTTTTGTTATGGAGTAGCATACTTAAGTTAATTATCTGGATTTTGTACAATACCTCAAGTTGATATCTCATGAGTTATAGGAGCCCACGGCTGACCTACCTGTACCCCATATCCGTGTGTGTGTGTTTGCTGCCACGGAACCGAGGAACCTTAGGATTGCATGTGTATCCAATTATGATATGGCAAGGCTTAGTTTTAAGATTGATGTTGCCCCTCATTAAATGAATGCCCGTAATCATGGGATGAGCTGTTTGACTAATTAATGATCTGTTTTATAAGAAGAAGGTAGTTTCTGTATTGGGAAACGGGGATGGTTTTTGGACAATTCCATTTGTAATGGGGTAGCATCACAAAATCCTGTGAATTATATGAGTCCAGAACTCGAGATCCTGTTGAAAAATTCTCAGGATTTTCCTATGGAAGAAAATACTGCAAAATTAACACTTCCTAATTGAATTATACGCAGAATTCTATGCTATAGACATTATTTAAGCTATCTTTTATGGTGGACTTAATATTTTCACGATTCATTGTACAGAAAAACTTCTCCCTGACTCTGAATATTCTATTCCTTGCAGACGCTAGATAACAAGGAGCTCCTAGAAAAAATTATATCTAAAACCCCTCTTATGCGGGTTGGAGAACCAAAGGAAGTCTCGTCCCTGGTGGCATTCCTTTGTCTACCTGCTGCTTCTTACATCACAGGGCAGGTCATTTCTGTGGATGGAGGAATGACTGTGAATGGCTTTGAACTGTGAGTGGTTTCTTACGGAACTACTTTACTAGAAAAGAAGAGTGCCAATAAGCAAGCCATTTCCCCCACTCCACGCACAGTGGAACAATCCTAAAACACTTTACTTTGTTGTAAAATGTTCCTAGTGTTTTTAGTAAAATGTTCCTAGTGTTTTTAGTAAAATTTTATTTCAGTAATGCACTGTTCCTGACTGGTGAGTGGCAATGATGCACTGTTTTTAGTGAAATGTTATTTCAGTAATGTGTGTGTGTGTTTTTAGTAAAATGTTATTTCAGTAATGCACTGTTCCTGACTGGTGAGTGGCAATGATGCACTGTTTTTAGTAAAATGTTATTTCAGTAATGTGTGTGTGTGTGGGGTTGGGGGTTGAGGAATTGGTCTTAGATTTGGTTATCATGGATTTTTATTTTTTATTTTTTTTAACATATGTAACTGTGTTATTTTCTTTTTCATATTATTGAATATGATTTTTTTTTTTAGTATATTTAATTATATGAACTCAATTTTGAAATAAGAATGAATAATCTAAAGAATTATTGTGAATATTCTATTTAGAATCAATTTTTTCCATATATATATTGTTTTGGTTCAAATTATATATATATACATATTATTGTTATTAAAGATGCCCCCCAAAAGGACTCTTCTCTTTCTTCCTTTTATCCAATTATTTTCTTTCATACGGAACAGAGAGCATTAGTCTTAGTCAATTAATTTTTTTTTGTTGATGTGTGCTTATTTTTTATCAGGTTTCTTAACCTGCCTTGTTGGATTATTGCCTTGTTTGTACCTTTGTGCCCATATTTTTACTTGTATTCTTTATTTTAAGAAAAAAAAAAAACTTTTATTTTAGAAAATTGAGCTTTTTTTACTTTAAAAAAAAAAAAGCACCCCAGGAAAATTGAGCATGTACTACTTAGATTCTATGCAACGATTAAAACATTTGAAAATTTCAATCAAATAATGTGATTTATGTTTTACTTCAATCATTTTATACCAAGATATTGGATATTGCAATTTATAATCTTTTTATTTTTAATTTTAATGGTCTTCACATATTTTATTAGAACAACTTTTATCTTTACAAAATGCTCCCCTAAAGATTACCGGAAGCTAATTTATGATAAATCGAAAAGCACAATTACTAACTTACCCTTACTTATTAATTTATTATAATAAATCAAAATATCTGCTATCAAGAAAATGACCACTTTGCCCCTATCTTTTTTTCCCTTTCCTTTTTTTTTTTTTTCTGCCTTTTTTTTCAATCTCTCAGCTTGCTCTCTTTCTCTCTCTCTCTCTCTCTCTCTTTCACTTACTTCGCCAACCACCATCGCCACCACTCCTCTTCTCTCTTCTCCACTGATGACGCTACCCATCATCTCCACCACCAATTCTCTCTCTCTGTTCTCCACCTCATCCATGTCCGTATGTGCATGCGTATATGTATGTGCATGTGTATATGAATATGTATTTATATTTATATATTGGCGTGGACCATGACCAAATTTATCCCTTCGTCATTGAAATTTCTGTGTGATGGGAGAGAATAAGGATCACTGCTCTTGAAGTCCCTGACTACCAATTTTTCCCCTTGCACAACAATCGATCACTTTTAACAGCCCCAAAGGTTCTCCCATAGTCCACTCCTACAAAGGCATCAACTTCATAAATAAATAAATTAATAAGTAAGGGCAAATTAATAATTGTGCTTTTCTGTTGGTCGGAAATTAGCTTTCGGTGACCTTTAAAGGGCATTTTGCTTGCTTTTGATAGTTGAATGTGGCAACTTGCTTCAAAAAATAATTCAGAGAGCATTATGCAACATTGGTATAATACGGGGAGATATTTTGCTCTTTTGCCTTAAAAAAAAAAAAAAAGTAAACTTTTATTTAAATATTACACTTTGCTCTCTCTCTCTCTCTCTCTCTCTCTCTCTCTCTCTCTCTGTGTGTGTATATAATAGATATCATTCTTCCACGCATTCCATTTGTCTCTATTAAAAAGACCATAAAATCTCGAACATCTATCAATCACAAAATAAAACAATCATTCCCTAAGGTAAAGTTAACACTATACTGTAAAACACAACCTTAACACCCTTTTCACTCCTAATAAACCAAACACACAACCTTGATCAAACTTATTTCCAACTTGGCCCAAATTCTCTCTGTCCAATAGGCCCAAATGGCGATGTGGATCTGGATGAGACTTATTTCGAACTTGAATCCGGTCCAAATCCAGCCAGGTCCTAGTCTATTGACACTCCCACACTGTAATTGTTTACTTACACTCACACACTATAATTGAATAAGTTAAGTAACTAAAAAAGAGGAAATAAAAAAAAAAATGAAAAATTGAGCCTATACTACTTATATTGTGCACACTCACAATCCGAGAAATTATTAAATGGTCCTAGTCCACAGATCAATTCAATTCAGATTCTCCGATTAAGAAAATTGTCCCACAAGAGCATATTAATATATTACAAAAAAAAATCAACAAGTCTTGATTGAATTGGTCCACTACGTTTCAAATGGACTAGAAACATCTAATATTTAGTCCATCCCACTTGGGAGGAAATAATTTTGGTAATTTATTTACTAAATTTTATTTATTTTAAATTTTTAACAAACCAAAATCCTTTGAACCTAGTTACCTTTTAGCACACAAAGTTGCAAAACAACACCATTTTTACTTCTATATATGCAATCACTCCCAAGAGAGAGTATCTTGTAGTGCATCTGGTGAATCAAATGTCACCGATTTGGTACAGAGCTCAATATGTTATCGAGTCTAAAATGTGAAATGTATTGGAAAATTTTTTTACATGATTTTGGACTACATGATCCCGACAAATTACAATCGATTATATTAGAAAAAATACTGAATAAAATTGACACATTTATTTGGATGACATTATGTAATTTATCAAGGCCATATAATAATTTTTGGGTAAATTACACTTACCTCCCTTGAAGTTTGGACAAATCTCGCATGAGTGGAGATTTTGTGGTTTATTACTCTTACCTCTCTTAAGACTATAAAAAGTCAATTATACCCATATATGTTATATAGTTTTATAATACAAAATATATTATAAAATCTAAAAAAAAAAAAAAATTAATTTTCCATCTCATCTCTCTTATTACTTTCTCTTTCTTCTCAAACGCCGTTACCCCTTCCTAAAAAACTTATTGTAAATAAATAAAAAAAATTTGAGTGTAAAGATAACTTGTTCATTTAATAAATTTTTTTTACAAATTTTGATGGAGAATAGGAGTTGTTGAGTTAACACCCAAACTTCAAAGGAGGTCAAAACAATGAATTTACCCTAATTTACCGTTGTCATTTGGTGCATCGTATCCGACCTGGATTTCCTGGTCCCACCCCCACACATTTAACACGTATAATTAAAAGAAAATGTGGTGGGTTTGGTCACGGTAATCCAATCAATCAACAAAGGAAAATCAAAAATCAATTAACAAAGCTGTGAATGCCGCCAAAAGCCAAAAGCGTCACCTTTTAAAAAAATTCAATAACGTAACGTATTCTCCTACTTGCAGTTGCAGTTACAGAGAAGAGAGAGAAGAAGATGGCGAAGGTAGAGAGCAGCTGTGGATCTTCACGGTGGTCTCTCACTGGAATGAACGCTCTTGTCACTGGTGGCACTCGTGGAATTGGGTCTCTCTCTCAATCTATAAATAATTTTTCAATCTGATTAATGATTCTTAATCTAATCGCTCTCGAAATTCTCTCTAGGGTTTTGATTAATTGATTTGATTTGATTTTGATATGTCTAGGCATGCGACTGTTGAGGAACTAACTGAATTAGGGGCTACGGTACTGAAGATGCAAGAAATTCTCCCTCTGAAATTAGAAAGAACAATTCTACACTTCAAAATTTTCCAACCCCTTTTCCCTCTATTTTTAGTTTATTTATAGACTGTTACAAACCTTCTAGATATTTTCTCACTAACTTCTTGAGCTGGGCTGTTCTTCTGGGTTTTTCTTCATTATGGGTTCAGTTCCTTTCATCAAAAACCGGGCCTCCAACCTAATTTCATAATCCTGGGCTTGATTAATGAAGACTCGGTCCAAAACGGTAGTCTTTATCCGACCCACTCACAACCACCTGGATTGTCCCCGGCCCAAGTTATTTTAGGTATCCTCATTTGCCCCCATAATCTATCCCTAATTAACTAGGGTGGGATTATCGAAAAGATATACTCATAACATGACGGCTCGAAGTGGTGACGTGGGGAATTGAACGGTCGGCTCAAAGATTGATGTTTTGAGATCTGTTGCACCATTTTCAACACAGCCCCTTGAAGGTTGAACCACTTTTACTTTAAAAAATCTTAACTCATTATTTCTTGTCTTTCTTCAACTCTTCTCACCTCTATCCTTTTCGATTATTTCTGTCGCCCACTTGCACTTTCCGGCGAGCTTTCGTGATTTGATTTTTTCTTTGCTACAAGGTATTTTGTAAATTCTCTTTACAAGGTTAGTCCCTTCCTCTTGCTGCTTTCCTTAAAAGAAAGGAATTTTATATTTAAAAACCTCTCCCTTTTATGGCTCCCCTCAATTTGGACGCCATTCGTTCGAGGAACATATTCCTAATGATGTCTTTCTTAGGGTTTACCCTGAGAGTCTGGATGAGAGTACCGGTGAGGGTCTCCTTCCTAGGGAAATTCTCCTCTCGGCACTTCATTTGAATGTACTCAGATTTCCTTTACACCCGTTCTTCTGCTTTGTCTTCAATAAATTAGGGCTTTCCCCTCTTCAGGTTAACCCTAACTTCCTTAGTGTAATATTAGTCCTTCTAATTTTGAATCGTGATAAGGGTCTCGAATTAGACATAATAGACCTTCTCATTTGCTATAGAATCGTCAAAAACAAAAGCAACGAAATGTATTTTCACTTCTATCCCATCGAGAAGCGATTTATCTGTATGGGCAAGCTCTCATTTGAAAAGGGGTGGAAGAAAAACTTGATTGGGGTTACTGGAAATTGGGGAACTCCACTTGCTCAAACCTTCCCTATCCCAACTACTTTTGGGGAGTGCTCTGTTTTCTAATATAAAAAATTTAGGACGCATCCCTTTAATTGCCATTGTGAATCATGTCTTCCTCATTTCTGTACTTTTCTTTGTAGTTGCCTTCAAATAAATCATGATGAGTTGGTTTACAGCATTTGCAGGATAAGGCTTGACATTTTGAAGGAGAGAATCCTGAATAACATCCCCTCAGCCACTGACTTGCTCACGTCTACCAACCTCTCTGACATATCCTTCCTTGGGTCCACCATGAATAATATCAGAATTCCTTTTTTCAGCAGGAACGGGCGTCTTGCCCCTACTCTTTCAGCTGTTCCAGCCACCACTGCAGCCACTTTACCAGTTCCAGTCGTAACCCAATCTAACGAGCATCTAAACGCTGGGCCCTCTATCTCAGCTGAAGTTCATCCTACTGCGCTGAACAATGACCCTTCTGACACCATAGCTGAAACTTCCCCACATGGTGCTCATAATGTTGGGGGTTCTTCTCCAATTGCTGAAGGGTCCTCTCC